AAAGCTACAGGGCTGAAACTTCGGGAACTTAATCTACATGCACGTACGGGCCCCAATCCCCAAAATTGGCGCCTTTACTCACGTGGTACCCGTGTACGAGACCGCCAAAATTTTCTTGGGTAAGTTCATAACTCGGGAATCTGAGAAACTAGAAAACTGAAATCTTAGGAGGATGTTCTCCGTCCAAATGGGTATTAGTGAGCTCAAACCCAACCCCCGGATAAGCGTGGTACCCGCGTACGAGCCCGCGAAATTTTTTTCGCGCAAGTTGATAAATTGAGTACCTCAGGAGCTAAATGACTGTAATTTTAAGTGGATATATCCCGTCCACCTGTGTTTCATTCAGCTCAAATCTAACTCTCGGGTATGCGTGGTGAATACGCACGGGCCCGTGAAAATTTTTTCCAGTGAGTTGCTAATTCAGGGACGAGGGGAGCTAGAAGGCTGAAATTTTAAAGGGGTGTTTTCTGACAGTTCTAGCGGCCAGTCTTAATTTATTTAGCTAGAAGCATTTGCCGAAAAAGCCGGTGCCGGTAGCAACAAAAACTGCGGGGAATTATGCAAAAAATGCATCTTCGCACGGGCAGCCTGTACATTGGCCATTTGTTTTGTTTTGATATTTCTTACTATCTCTGTTTATGTCACTGTTTCTTTATGCGTGTTTCTTTTAATTCATTTATATTCACTTAATTTTGGCAACTTACAGCCACTTGTAAAAGTATAAAAGTTGTTTTTAGTTAGCCGCATGGATAGTCTGCGTGTGCGGAGAGGAAAGAGGGGTAGGCGGGGGTGGAGGATTGGGTGAGGTTGCTAAAAATTTAATCATTAGCTGGGCGACTTTTCGGACACGTTACCGTTTAAGATTGAAATGAAAAGAATGTTTTGAATATGTATCATCTGCCATAAACTTTCCAGATCACTCTTCATCCGGCAGTGAACATCGATGACACTGAGCCACCGTACGCCATTTTCCCGTTGCCATTTCCCGCTGATGATCATTATGCTTCTGACTGGCCTGAGCAGTTGTGCCTGCGACGGTTCCGGTATAATTTTGTTGCATTCTAGGCTTATGATGATTTTTATGATTTTTTTTTATGGCTCGCTAGCACAGCCAGGCCGTTGTCATGCTACCAAATTTTTCACATTCGTTTACGTCTGTACTTAGGAAGGAGTGAGTGGCGATTTCTCCTGATCCATGTGTAGCTGAAGGCCATGTTTATAAAACTTCGGATCCTTAGCTACTTTTATTTTTAAAGAATGGATTAGAATCAGACTGTATGCTAGGACATAAGGGATTAGACTAAGTACCATATGTTTGAGTGCAGTCGGTATTTTATCCCTTAGCTGTAAACACGGACCGAACGTAGCATTTGGGTTAGAGTGGAAATCGTCGGTTACCCACCAAGTGGATGAAGAGCAGGTCAGAGTAGCGACAGACCAGAAAATCGTTTGCTAGCGAAAAGACGAGAAAGCGATGTGAGGGAAAAGGGGCGGAAGGAGGATGCCTAATTTTTACTAATCAACTGGCGATGTTAGGAGATTTGCGATTTCGTCGTCTTCAAGAAAAATATATGTTTACTGAGAATATAAAATATTTACTAAAAAGAAAGTATATTTACTAACTTGCAATAGACAGACGTTTTTGCACGTGAACATGGCAAATACTTTTTCATTTATAGAATACGTGTGTTGCTTGTATGTCTGAACAGGTCTTGATTACAGGCAGTCCGATCCAGTGCCGCAGAAAGTTATGGAATCGATGCGAATGGTGCAATTTGTTGGCTATGCGCATAACCCTCGGGCTGATACACTGCTGCGTGGCTTCAACGTGTGCCCCTATACAACATCAGCGCAAGACAAATGCTTCATGAACAGTATTTTTCAAGTTCACTCTCTCTCTATCGTTTCTTTAACATCCTCACAGGCTCAGTTTGAATTCACAGGAGGTGAGGAGGAGAAAGGGGGGACGGGGTGAGCTCTGGTTTCTGCTGGGAACTGCAATTTACAGAGCAGAATGATGATGAAAAGTTAGAGGGGGAGAAAGAGGAAGCAATGGATTACTTCTGTAATCATTTCGGATGAAAGATGAGCGGGAGCGAGAGCCAGTGAACTTTTGTGCAGTTATCTTCATTGTAAGCTAGCAGGGCAGTTCATGTTGCAGTTTCGTCCATATAATTTTATTGGTTTTAGTGGTGAAAGTGGATCAAGCAGTACGCATTCCAAAGTTCTATTTGCACTGTGAAGGATGGCCAGCCTCAAACGCTGAGGAAACCAACTACAAGCGATATAACCGCACGGAATTTAACACGATTGCATGTTATGATGAGACGAACCCTGCTTGCATGCTTTTATTGGTGACTCTTACTTATTTACTTGGTACTTAAGACAGATACTGTTTTACCGTCGATGAATCAGTGGTGTAACCGTCAGATTTGCGTGTCCAAAACGTAACAATCTCTAAGGGGGTCGAAAAAGTAGCAATCTCAAGTTTCGTGACTGTATAAAATAATCGCAAAGGATTTTGGACGAGGAAGTTACCAGCAGCATTAGGCGTGGGTTTGAACGCCATGACGAAGAATATTTAGCCAGGTAAAGTGACAATTACTAAAAATTGGCATCACACACGACTTGCGAAAAATTTTTTTAGCAATGATGCGTAGGCCTTCCCCATGGCCATTGGCAGGAGTTCGAGTGTGGCAGAGGCGTGGAGGAATGGTGTGTTGCAAGTTTCGTTCGAGGTAGGGGAGGACGGCTGGGATAAGTCGAGAAACTCCTACATATTTCAGGCTATGTATCATCTTATTCCTATAAGAAATGTCTTCCTGTCTCATTTCTGCTACGTGGAAGGCTGTATTTCATGTGAAATTAATTTGCTTTATCGCTTGCTCACCGATCAGCCATCACCTAGCGCCTTATCGGTATGATTTTGACCTTTTTACGTAGATTTAGACCTTTTTTATGCGTTCTTCTATTGTGCGGTTCGGATTTTCGTCAACCACATTCAAGTCAGTAACATAAAAGCTACGAAGTTGGATGGTTCACATACCATTCAAAAAACTTAAAACCAACGTTCAAACGCACCAGCGTCTAAAAAACTC